GCACCACCATGCCTGATTTAGGCAGTGCTGAGGATGGAAGCCGGGGCGTCATGCATGCTCCATGCCTGATTTAGGCAGTGCTGAGGATGGAAGCCGGGGCGTCATGCATGCTACATAAGTGTTTTACCACCTGAACCACATCCTCACCCTGAACCTGTTACGTTCTCCTAGTGACCTTCTGTGTGTAGCTATGCCATTGACCCCCACACTTGATACATAAACTCTGGAAGTCACTCAGCTATCTAGGGAACCAAGACTGGAAGGCAGGCCTCTCTCTTGCTGGGTCTGTACTTCTGAGCCCTCTGCTAGGTGCTATGGGGGACAGCAAGGATGCAGCATCTGAGACACTGTTTCCTGTGGCTGTGCTGGGGCTGTGTGTCCTCGCTGGGTGGGTGGGGACAGTGGAGAGAAATCAAAGCGCACTCACTGTACTGAGCTTTGGCAGCTGCCTTAGCAGCAGATTTGGCAGCAGCTGGCGTCCCTGCTCCTGAAAAGAGGAAGAACATTCAAGATGGCACTCGTGAAGGCTCCGGGGAACCCCCAGACCCACTCATCCACCATAGCTCACCTCCAAGACCACCAATTACAGTGCCAACTCGAGGAGCTATGATACCATTAACAGCACCAGGGACAACTCCACCGGGAACCCCACCAACACCAGGGCCCAAACCTAAAAGAGAGAGAATAGTTTATCTGTAATCAAGGCGTAAACAAAGAGTGCAGGGGCTGTTGCAAAGAGCCTCAGCTGAGTCAGGAGCTATGGGTTCCCTTCCCAGCCTTGGTAAAGACTTGCTGTGCGATCTTGGGGCAGATACTTTCCCTTGCTGGGCCTCTTTTTGCTCCTATATAATAAGAGTCAGATGTAAATTTAGTAGTTTGTAACCTTTTGAGGGATGGTGGAGGACAAGCAGGTTTATTCATTATTGTTTTACTTTTTTTTTGTATTAGAGAATAAATGGGAAGTCTTGGACATGCTAGATAAGTGTTCTACCACTGAGCCATGCCCCCAGCCCCTCCCTGGGGGATTCTAGGCAGGGGCTCTACCACTGAGCCACGCCCCCAGCCCCTCCCTGGGGGATTCTAGGCAGGGGCTCTACCACTGAGCCACGCCCCCAGCCCCTCACTGGGGGATTCTAGGCAGGTGCTGTATCACTGTCACATCTCTGATCTCTCACAGGGGCATTCTAAGCAGGAGTTCCATGACTGCTGATGAAAAGGTCCCAGATTTTTTCATTATTATTATTATTATTATATTATTTACTTTGAGACAGGGTCTCACTAAATTTCTCAGTCTGGACTTGAACTTTCAATGCCCTTGCTTTAGCTCCTTGAGTAGCCGGGATTATATGCCAATACTAACAAACCTGGCTCCCAGATCTGCTAAGGCCAGGTGTCACCACCGGCTAGCCCATGACTGAACCCCAGCTGAGCTCCAAGGAGTGGAGCATCTACCGTTAATCATAATTCTGGATTAATCACATTTAGGAAATGTGTACATTCTTGACCTTGACAACTATCAAGAGGAAGGCTGACCTTGGCATCTATCAAGAAATGCAGCTCCTCAAGGGGATGAGGCTGGATTCTAGCTTGAGATGCAGAGAGAACAAGTCCTAGGGAACTAGGAGCTTTCAGATGTAGGTTGGGGCAGGTCATGGAGGGCTTGGCCGTCCTACGCTGCTAGAGAGGAGCAGGTAAGCTAAAGGCTGTGAGAACAGCTCATACTCAGGGCTGGGCATATGGCTTAGAGAGTAGAGCACTTACCTGCCATATAGGAAGTCCTGGGTTCTATCCCCGAGTACTGTATAAACAAACCCTGGCACCACAGTGCCTGGAATACTAGCATATGAGGGGTGGAGGTGGAAAGACCGGGAGTTCAAGGCCACCCTTAGCTCCTCAGCAGGAGATGTGAGAAGCCTCTGGTCTGGGGGTCAATGGTCAGGTACAGAGGGGGACAACTTACCATACTGGCTTGCTTTGGCGGCTGCCTTGGCGGCGGCGGCAGCAGCTGCAGCTGCAGGGGTGCCTGCTCCTATTTGGGTAAAGGGAGCATAAGATGAGGCAGCCCTGTACCTACGAGGATCTCAGTCCTGTTTAGGATGCTCTTAAGTAAAAAAATTCCTAGTAGCTCCTTTATGCCAAGCTGTCATAGGAAATGACTCCTTCCTCACCCTTAAAATAAAGTTTATAAAGGTTTTGTTGGGGACTGTAGAAGAAAGTATTGACTATATAGATCTGTTTTGGGAAATTTGATTTCTGAGGTTTCCTCCCATATATGAGTCCAGGAATCACGATCCCACAATGTACTTTGAGGCAGAGTCTCTCACTGAATCCAGAGCTCGCTGTTTCAGTTAATCTAGCTAGCCAGCTTGCTCTGGGGAGTCCCTGTTTCTACCACTCATACCCTAACAGTACAAGCAGGCCACCGTGTCCACTGGCTTTTATGTAGGATCTGGGGATCCAGCCTCTGCCCACTAAACTTACTGCAATGCTCATTATCCCCCTGCAACATCTCCCAAGTGCTCCCCCTCTCTCCTTTTAAAGTTTGTGTTAATTAATGAACCTATTTATTTATTTATTTATTTGTGTGTGTGTGTGTGTATGCTTGCACACATATAGGTATTAGAAGACAACTTGTGTGAGTCATTTCTCTCATTCTGACATGTGGGATTTCAGGCTTGGCTGCAAGTACCTTTACCCACAGAGTGACCCTTTCTTTCTTTACAATATCGGAAAGGACTGTTTTGCATGTTTAGCAAGCTCTCTACCACTTAGCCACACTCCTAGTCCTAGTTCCTTTATGAACAAAAAATACATAAGGGTAGTTTTATCCTAGAGGGGGAAAAGCATGCAGAAGAGAAATTGGAAAAACCATAGCTAAGAAGGGGATCCTCGAATAGCAAGGTCTTTCAATCATCTCCCTTTGATCTCTGATTGGTGGATAACAAAGGACTTAAGGCCACCTGAGTGAAGGGTCCTCTGTTGGTAGGGAACTAGAAATATCCCAGAGTTAAAGGCAGATCACTGAACTCTTGGCGACAGGAGGCTCTTTAGAGCTGGCTGAGTCTCCCCAGGAAGGGAGACGCTTGTGAGGGATCAGCAACCAGGTTCCTACGGAGCGCCCCTCCCCATTCAACTGCTTTAGAGGAAGTTCTCCCCACCTCCGCATTCATCTCTGGTATCAGTTTTCCTATCTGTAAAATACCAAGCCCCAAGCTTCTTCTATAAGACAATACAGACCCATCTCAGGATGGGAAACATAGCTCACCTGGCACTCCACCAGTGCCCGGCACACCTGGTACTGCTCCTGGCACTGCACCTGGCACTGCACCTGGCACTGCACCTGGCACTGCACCTGGTACTGCACCTGGTACTGCACCTGGTACCAGGCCTCCCAGGGCTCCGGCTCCTCCAGCACCTGGAGAAGAGAAGAATGAGCCCCTGTGTTCACCGCATCCATCCATCCATTGATCCACCACCACACAAGCACCCACATGTGTATATGTATGTGTGTATGGATAAATGGAGAGAGAGGTGGGGGGCAGACTTGTCTGGCACCTTCAGCTCACTCTTTTGGAGTGAGCTGGCAAACAAGGTATCAGTAATGTGGTTCCACAGCAAGTGGAAATGGTGGAAGAGTTGAGCACGGTTTAGAAGGCAGGTGGGGGTTGTGGACTTGCGTCTTTGCTCCGGAGGCCCGAATGTGAGGCTGCTTGGCCATCACTCAGAGCCTGGGCTCCACAGAGAGAAGGGCAGCAGACAGGGCAATGTCACTTACCATACTTGGCAGCTTTGGCAGCGGCGGCAGCAGCAGCTGGGCTTGCACCTGCTGGAAAAAGGGAAGAGCAGGTGGGCACGTGGATAGAAGAGTTAAGAGGATGGGGAGGTGGAAGACAGGTGGTCAGGCAGGTAGGGGAGTAGGTCGGTGGGGATGGATGGATGGTGGGCGAATGGACAGATGGGTAAATGGAGGGATGAATGGATGCATAGACTGAAGGATGGATAGACAGATGATGGATGGATGGATAGATGGATGGATGGATAGACAGATAGATGGATGGATACACAGATGGCTGGAGAGACGTGTGTATACATGTATGGGTAGATATGTGGATGAACGGGAGATGGACGGTGTTTGGATACATGGATAAATGAGATGACGAGGCAGACTGATAAGTGGATGATTAGGCAATAGATTAGTGGGCAGGTGGATGGATAAATATACGAGTGTATGGATGATGGATTGATAGATGGTTGGATAGATGGATGAACAGATGTATGAATGGATGGATCAATAGATACACAGAGAAATAAATGAGTTCTTTTGCCCAGATTACTGCTGAACAAGGATTGTACCTTTCCCAGTTCCTAAATGCTATGAAGATTGCCTCTCTCTTCCCTAGCACGCCAAAGCCCACATCTACTCTCCAAGTCCCCGCATGACTTGAAACACCCATTTCTCCTCCCGCAGCTTCTCAGAGATGCAACTAGAGCTCATGGGGAAAGATACCTCCGAGTCCAGCTCCAGCTCCAACACCATAGCCAGGAAAGCCGCCAGCTCCAACCCCATATGTCGGGATGCCAACTCCACCTCTGGCTCCTGTGGAGGAGAGAGAATCCATGAAAAGAGTCTCTGGTGATGCTGGACAAGCTCTGGAAGGATGCTCACTGTCTGGGAGAAAGGATGCATGCTTCCTTTAACCTGGTCCTTGAGGACAGGAAACTGGGATTCACTGGCTCCCTGACCAGTCTCCTCCATGAACTCTAGTCTTTCCTGATTCCCTGGGTATTTGGGGGAGGCACCCTTTTGTTATGATAATGTGAGTGGGTTTACTCTAACCAGGCTTTCTGTCCTTTGAAGGGACTTCGGCCAAAGCATGGAAGAGTAGGGACACTATCTAGATTGGGGATGGCATCCTGGGGTGGTCCTATCACTTAGCGCCATGGCTTCACGTCGGTAGATAATTGGAGAGACACTATCCTGAGATCCAAAGGATCCAAGTAACTCTGCCTGGGACGTTCCCAGGGTGAGCCGCTCTCCTCCAAGCAAGAGGATAGAGGGCTTGTCACTCTGGCGAGTGGAAGCCACCTCAGGGATGGTCAGGGCACTTACCATATTTGGCAGCTTTGGCAGCAGCTTTAGCAGCTGCAGCTGGTGACACAACCCCTGGAGAGATCAAGGGGACACAATGCTCAGGAGAAAATGGAGGAGAGGTGGTCAATGTGTATTACCCTGTCTACCTGTCTGTTACTCCGTATTATTCTTATTAATCAGTAGAGCTGTGATATCTGCTCATCTGTCCATTCACCCTCTGTCACGTCTCTGCCTATCTACTCTCTGTCCTTAGGTCTCAGTTCCCCTACCCACCCACTAGCTCTCTATCCATTTGTTTGTTGATGGGTAGATAGATCAATGCATGGATGAGTGTATGTACGTATGGGTATATGGACAGATGGAAGGATGGAGGAACGCATGGATGGAAACCTAGACATCGATCACTTAGTCATCCACAGCTGCGTCCACCTACCCATCAGCTTACCCACCCACCTGCCCATCCACCCATCAGCTGGTCTGTCAGCCTGTCTACCTGTCTATCCATCACCGTAGCCACTCATTCGCCCGTGCATGCATCCATCATCCTTCTAACCATGTGTGCAGATTCCTCCCTGCATGCCCATCTGCTTTCCCATCTGATAGCTCGTCTTCCCAACTGTCCTTCGCCCCTCCTCTCTACCTGCATATTCACCTCTTCTTGTGTCTACTCAGCCTCTGCTCACCCCCTCATTGGTCAGTTCAACTGCTCATCGACGTGACCAATTCTATGGCCACCCACTTGACCAGTCTATCCACGTTGCTATCCATCTACCACTTACTGAGCACCTACTTAGCTAAGCGGTGGGTGCATACTAATGGAGGGCATGGTTCCTGCCTTTGGCCGCACACTGTGAATTAGGAGGGAGGATGGAGATACTGCTGCAGCTAGAAGCTAACTGGAAAGTTATTATGATCCAAAATGGAGGGTGTCAGACTTGGCCAAGGGTCTATATAGATGAATGAAGTTTTAGGGAGGGCACAAAGTCTCGACAATAATTTATATTGCTTATACACACACATACATACGCACGCACGCACGCATGCACGCACGCACGCACACGCAGAGCCCAACTTACTTACCTGGTCCACCCCCAATGCCTGGACCTCCGATACCAGGGATCCCAACACCTGGGATGCCACCAACACCTGGGATGCCACCAACACCTGGAATGCCACCAACACCTGGAATGCCACCAACACCTGGAATGCCACCAACACCTGGAATGCCACCAACACCTGGGATTCCAGCACCTGGGACCCTGACTCCTGGTCCCCCAGGTACTACACCTCCAGCAGCTCCTGTAGACGGAAAGAGGGTTGTCCTGGATTGAGCCTTGTGGGGGCCTCTGTAGGCCTCCTAGGACAGATGCATAGGTCAGTTTGGGGACCACAGTTTGTAGTGAGTGAAGGATCCCATGTGGATGGGTTGGTGATCCCTCTACAAAGACTCAACTCATCAGAGAACAGGGGATGGACTAAGATGGAGCCCAAAGGGACCTCTAGTTTGGATATGTAGCTGGAAGAACACGATTAATTCTAAAGCAAAATCAAAATGTCTGCTATAGGAACTTAGGCTGTGGGGGAGGGGGAGGGGGGCACGGTGTTGTTTGTTTTGCTTTGTTCTTTTGTTATTATGTTTTAATTTGCAGTACTGGGAATTGAAACCAGGACTTTGCGTATGTTCCCAGTCTACCCTTGAGCCACACTCCCAGTCCCTCACTGGGGGATTCTAGGCAGGGGCTCAACCACTGAGCCACGCCCCCAGCCCCTCACTGGGGGATTCTAGGCAGGGGCTCTACCACTGAGCCACCCTCCAGCCCCTCACTGGGGATTCTAGGCAGGTGTTGTATGGCACCATCCCTTCCCCTGCAAACTCCATGCAGAGTGAGAGCTGCCTTTGAGACAGGGTGACCAATATGGACAAAAGCCTCCTTTTGGGGAAGGTCAGAGATGTCCCCAGGTGAACAGAGGCAAAGTCTACCCATCCTTATGGATCTCCAGTGTTCACGCAGGGCCCCGAGCCTCCCATTTCCGGGGTGGACACTCACCATACTTAGCAGCCTTAGCAGCAGCCTTTGCAGCAGCAGCTGCTGCGGGAGTTCCAGCGCCTGGAAAGACAGGCGCAGAGGGTGAGGCGCTGCCACTGTGGCCCCTCAAGGACACCTCCACCCTCCAGCTGGGAGAAACATTACCTGCAATGCCTCCAATCCCAGGGATTGCGCCAGCACCACCAGGAATGCCAGCCCCTCCAACACCGGGGAGGACTCCAGCTCCTCCAGCACCTGCTGGGACAAGGTGCCACGTGACTCCCCAGAGCTTCTGAGGCCAGACAGGGAAGCTTCAGAGGGGCCAGCACATTGTGTGTGTGTGTGTGTGTGTGTGTACCTGCATGAGTATACTTGTGTATGTGTATAAGTGTGTCAAGGGCAGATGTTAACCTTTCCTCAGTATCTTTTTTTCCCCTTTAGCCTTTTCTTACACGTGTGCACATGTGTGAGTGCATGCATGTTTCCCCATGCATGTGGAAGCACATGCATATGGGTGTTTGTGCATTTGTGCATGTGGCGGCCCCAGGTGATGTCGTGGAACAGTCCTTGATGAACTTTTACTTTATCTATTGGGCCAGGGTCTCTCCATCAGTTTGACAAGTCTTATTAGCCAGCTTGGCTCTGAGGAACTCCCCATCTCTGCCTTCCAAGGGGAACCCAAACTCCAATCCTAAGTAAGCGCTTCAACCATTGAGCCATCTCTCCTCAGACCCCATCTTGATTTTCGAGACTCGATCTCTCACTTGTACCTGGACGGTGTGTGGCAGCTAGCCTGGCTGGCTAGTGAGTCGCAGGTATCTACCTGTCTCTCCTACTCCAGTGCTGTGATTATAAATGTGTGCAATCTTTCCTCTCTCTTTAAGGATTATGGGGCTTGGGACTCAGATTCTCCTGCTTGTGTAGCTAGCACTGTACTGACTGAGTTACCTCCCCAGGCCCCTTACCATCTGCTGTTTTGTGAGACAGGGTCTCAATTAGGTGACTCAGGCTGGCCTTGAACTATGCATCAATCTTGCTATTTCAGCTTCTTGGTGGGATGCTGGCTTTTACCCACTATCCTCTCCACCCAGGAACAGGCCTCAATCTCTCCAGCTGGGCTTGTTTGGGAAGGTTCCTGCCTCCGAATTCTTGGGTTTGCCCCCCAAAGTGTCCATTTCAGCTTGCTCATGAAGGGAGTCCAATGTTCACAGACAAATCCCTTTCTAATCACCGATACATACTGACAAACCACAAGCTCCGTTCCGCGGGCCAGAGGGGCCCCCAAAGGAATGCTGAAGTCTTCCTTTCCCTGTGTTCCGAAGACTCAGCCAAGTTCCTAGTCCAAGTGTCTGGCTGCCCGGTTCTGGCAGCCCCTCTCTCCAGGCTCTCCAGTTCCCAGATTCCAGTTATTCCCACCAATCCCAGTCTGCCAAGGGGCCTCTGTGCAGGGGGCGGGGGGAGAGTCTGGGGGCCTACACAGGGCAGGATCGGTTTCTCCTCTAACTTCTGCCCCCTTAGCTGCTAGGGTCTTCAGTGCCCTCCTGACCTGGAAACAGGAAGGCCTCCTGGGTTGCAGACCAAGGAGAAAACTTTGGCCCTAGTGAGCTGACCTCCATCTGGATGCGGAGAGGATGCTTCCACCACACCGGTGGTAGCCACAGCTTGGCTCTCCAAGGGACTATGGACTTGGGGAGGGGTTACATTTTTTTTAGTACACGTGAAATGGATGCATAACATTAAAAATGTTTATATAGCTGCTGCCTATATTTCTTTCTCTAATGGCTGTGGTACCTACCCTTTATGATTGGGTTCTTCCTTCCTGTTTTGTTTTTGTTTTGAGACAGGGTCTTATATAGCCCAGGGTAGCCTCACACTTGTTATGTAGCAGAGGAAGGCCTCAAAATTCCAATGTGTCTGTCACTACTTCCTAAATGCTGAGTCCTCACAGTCAATGTTCTTTGTGTCTGGCCCATGGGGCAACAACCCCACCCCCCCCCCCCCCAGTATGCTAAAGTCTTGAATGACAGGTCACGTTCTTCAGTTAGCATCTCTCATTTTCCCCATGGAGAAATATGACTGTCAAGGCTGTGTCCACATCCCCTGAGATAAGTGAGTGGAGAAAGGGGCACTGGATGGAGGGAAAGGAAGGTTGTAGGGGGTGAGACAGGAAGGACGGGAGGAGGATAGAAGGGGCATGGATGGGGGAGGGTGGGTGAAAGGATGAGAGATGCCTGAATGGAGGGATGGGCATGTGTATGTGTAGATCAGGAAGGAATGGGTGTGGGAGGGAGAGGAGGAGAGGGATGTGTGAGGGGACAGATGCAGAGATGTGCCATAGATAAGGGATGGATGCTGAAAGGGAGAGGTGGAGGAACAGGTGCGTAGATGGAAGGATGGATGGATGGAAGGACAGATGGATGGAAGGATGGATGGATGGATGGATGGATGGAAGGATGGATGGATGGAAGGATGGATGGATAGAAGGATGGATGGATGGAAGGATGGATGGATGGAAGGATGGATGGATGGAAGGATGGATGGATGGAAGGATGAATGGAAGGACAGATGGATGGAAGGATGGATGGATGGATGGATGGATGGAAGGATGGATGGAAGGATGGATGGATGGAAGGACGGATGGATGGAAGGATGGATGGATGGAAGGATAGATGGATGGAAGGACAGATGGATGGAGGGACGGATGGATGGAAGGATGGATGGATGGAAGGATGGATGGATGGAAGGATGGATGAGGGTAGAATAAGAGAAAGAGGGAAGTGTAGAGGGATGGATAGAGATAAGGAGGGGTGGATGGGTGGAGAAGATTGAGGAACAGAGGGGCTGATGGATGGGTAGATTATGGATAGATAGATAGATAGAGGGAGGGAGATATGGAGGGATAGGTAGGTGGATAGAGAAAAGGGAAAAGAGAGCTACATCCGTGGGTCACATTGTTGAAAGATGGATGCGGGGATGCAGAAACCACATGGCTTGTTATTCTTCTATCACAGAATGGCAAGGGTCCCCAGGGGACTTACCATACTTCGCTGCTTTAGCTGCTGCTGCTGCTGCCTGGGATCCGACCCCTGCAAGAGCGGAGGTGAGGGGACACTAAAGATGGTGATGGTGTCCAGGTATCCCCAGAGCACTGAGCTCCCAGCCTCACAGACACTCAGATGTAGCTGCGGGCTTCATAGCCAGTAAAGGCCAAAGAGCTGCCCCAACCTAGCTCAGAGTTTAGGCTTGGACCAAGGGTTGGATGGGTTAGCTGGTGTTTTGGATGGTCCATGGAGATTGGAAGGGGGCATTGGTGTCCCTTTGGCTGGAAGCAGGTGAGATTTTATTTTCTCTTACCTGTCCCTGTTGGGTAACCAGCTTTGCCCCCTGCACCAGCCACTCCTGTAAAGAAGATGCTTGGTTGTCACTCACATAGACCTTGCCACTCTGCTGTCCCCTGTCCCACTTGTCCCAAGTCTCCCCCGTCACCTCCAACAAAACTGTATACAGATACAAGTATGCATAGGGGATGCCATCCCAGTTTACAGATAACAACACTGAGGCTTGGAGAAGGAAACAATAGCTTGCTCAAGGTGTTGTAATAAGAAAGAGGGTCACAGCTGAATGCTAGGCCAAGTTCCCTGTGTTAGTCTTTGTCCTTTGGGAATTTTTATTCTAGTGCCTTGCTGGGTGTTTTCTTGGCCCATGGCTGGGACCTCAGTACCCTTGCCATCCCATAGGACTAGAAAGGATCAGAGCCCCGCAAACCCATGAGGGCACTACTTACCATAGGGCTGTTTCCCATTGGTATAGGGCAGTCCGTAGCCACCTATGGACAGGATAAAGGATGGATGGGGGAAGGGTTAGTGCATGGATGGATAGTTAGGGGAGAGACAGGGAAGGAAGAAAGGGTATGTAGGGTATATGGATGGATGGAAGGATGAATTGTATAACAGATGGAGAGAAAGAGGGATAGATGGAGAGATGAATTAGAAGGAAGAAATGATGGACAGATGAATGGAAAAGAATAGGTAGAGGAAGGCAGGATAGTGGAGAGATAAATGGGTACAAGGGAGACGTGATAGATGGAGAGGATGGGTAGAGAGGAGTGATGGATGGACAGACAGATGGATGGAAAGTGGGTAGGAGGAAGGAGTGATGGATTATGGATAGATGATGAATGGACAGACAGATGGATGGATGGACAGATGGACAGATGGAAAGTGGGTAGGAAGAAGTGGTGATGGACAGATGGATGGATAATAGATAGATGGATGGATGGGTGGAAAGTGGATAGAAGGAGTGGTGGATGGATGGATGGATGGATGGAGAGATAAGTAGGTAGAAGGAAGGAGTGACGGATGATGGACAGATGATGGATGGATGGATAGATGGATGGAAAGTGGGTAGAAGGAAGGAGTGACAGATGATGGACAGATGATGCATGGATGGATGGGTGGGTGGATGAACAGATGGAAAGTGGGAGAAGGAAGGAGTGATGGATGGATGGGTGGATGGACGCATGTATGGAGAGAAGGAGGGTAGAAGGTGAGGGATGGGTGGAGGAGGCAGCGATGGGTGGATTGGTGGAGGTAGGTCTAGATGCCTTGCCTGTCTCCCCTCTGCCTGATCAGACAGACCTCCCCACAACAGGTGCTTTCCACTCTCGTGAGGATCACCACTTGTTAATAAAGTCTTTCAGGTAGAGAGAGCAGAGAGAGGACAGGTATTCCTCTCCAGACCTAGGTACCAGCATGGCCCCTGGGGTCTGAGCATCTTCCTGTGTGCCTGCTCCCCACAGAGGCTGTGCCATTGTCTGGACTGACGGCTGTGGTAGAGATGACAGGGTGGTGACAGTGGGGAACTAGACACGGTGGAGTCTTTCAGATGCATGGTGGGTTTTTCTTTCTTTCTTTCTTTCTTTCTTTCTTTCTTTCTTTCTTTCTTTCTTTCTTTTTTTTTGGTTTTTCGAGACAGGGTTTCTCTGTGTAGTTCTGGCTGTCCTGGAACTCACTCTGTAGACCAGGCGGGCCTCGAACTCAGAAATCCACCTGCCTCTGCCTCCCAAGTGCTTTCTTTCTTTTTAAAATTCATTCTCTCTTGATTTGTTTTGTGGTAGGGTCCCATTCTGTAACCCAGGCTGGCCTCCAAATCATTGTATGCCTCATTTGTTGCACAGGCTGGCTTTGAAATTATATAATCCTCCTGCGTCCAGCCTCCAGAGTGCAGGGCTTATAACCCAGTACAACCCTGCCTGGATGTGTGTGTGTGTGTGTGTGTGTGTGTGCAGAGGCTAGACAACAACATTGAGTGTCATTTCTCAGGAGCTATCTATCTTGACTCTCACTAGGACCTGGGGCTGGCTAAGTAGGTTAGAATTGCTGGCCAGCAAGCCTTAAAGATCCTCCTGTTTCTACCTCTCCAGCATTGGGATCATAAGCCTACCTTTCCATGCCTGGCTTTTTTGTTTTTCTCCTTTAATGTGGGCTCTGAGGATTGTATTCAGTTCCTTGTACTTGTACGGCAGTTTACCAAGTGAGCCATCTCCGTAGCCCTGTAAGTACTGATGCTTATCCCAGCGTGAACAGGGCCAAGCAAGTCCCCTTGAGGCTGATTTTCCAGCAGAGGCTCAGAAAAGCATGCCTATTATTATTATCACGTGCTTGTACGTACATGTACATACATGTGTATGTGTTTGTGAGTGCATGTGTGTATACATATGTATGAGTGTACGTATGGGTGGATACCATTGTGTGTATGTGTGTTTCCAAATCTGTATAGATACAGATTTGTATATATGTGTGTGTACACGTGTACATGTTTGTGTTGGTGTGTATGTATGCACATGTGTATGCATTTGTGTGTGTATGCATGGATACCACTGTGTGTATACATGAGTTTGTGTGATTGTGTGTGCGTGATACCAATGTGTGTGTACACATGTGTATGTTTGTGCACATGTGTGTATAATATATATGTGTACATGTGTGAGTGCGTGTGTGGATGTGTGGATACTGCTATGTGCTAGTGGAACTCAGAAGACAACCTCAGTTCAGTCCTCTTCCACTCGTCTGAGGAAGGGTCTCTTTGTTGTTTGCTGCTGTGTACACCAGGCTACCCCAGCTCTCAGAGATTCTCCTGTCTCTGTCCCCATCCCCCTCCACCTCAGCTAGGAGTACTGGGGTTACAGATGCACGCTACTGCACTCAGCTTTATGTGGGTTCTGGGGATTTGAGCTTGTGCAGCAAGTGCTTTACCCACTGAACCATCTCCCTCCACCTTGAGTCAAGAAGCATCTTGAAACCTATCACTGGCTTACCTGGCAGCCTTGGAGCTTTGATGGGATAACCCAGTGGGACACCAGGCTGCTGACCCCCAAAGGGCCCGACCCCTGCAAGATAAAGAAAGTCAATCAAAGTCCCAGACCTTGGTGTGGCGGCATCTCCTCAACTCCCTGTCAGAAAATCTACTCTCTGTTCAGTTGGAATGAGTTCCTCCCTGCTGGCATTCTGTAACTTCTCTGCCTTGGGGACCTCCCTATCTCTTTGTCATGGGTCAGGGACGCACTCTCCAGTGACAGCCCAAGTAGGAGCTGAGGGACCCACGCCTACACTCATCTATGCGGACCTCAGTGTACTGCTGGGTGTCTGGGTTCATTTTGGATCCACATTGATAGAATTTGGGTTAAGACAGTGGTTCTCAACCTTTCTAGAGACCCTTTAATAGAGTTCTTCATGTGGTGGTGACCCCCTCCTCCACAAAATTATTTTGTCGCCACTTCATAGCTGTAATCATGCCACTGCTACGAGTTGTAATGTGAATAGCTGATGTGTAGGATAGCAGATATGTAATCCCTATGAAACGGCCATTTGGCTTCCAAAGGGGTCGCGACCCACAGGTTGAGAACCTCTTGGTTCAGCGCTCATGGTTGGGGACTGATGACACTTTGGGTAGAGGCCTGGGGTTTGTTTGTTTTTTAATTTTTGGAATGTGAGTTTTGGGGGATTGAGCTTAGGTCCTTATGCTTGTGTGATTAAACTCTTCAACAAGCCTTGAAACGAGAGGCATGAGGGAGATCTGGCACATATGGACAGGTTTCTGGGTGTCTAGCCCCAGAGTGTCCTCTCAACTTTGGGAGAGCAGCTTTAACGTACCTGGGATTCCAGAAAAAGCACCACCTCCACCTGCAAAGACAAAGAGCTGCCGCTGTGGCCCAGCACTAAGTGTGCAGGGCACGGGACACTGGCTCCAGGCTTCCTTTGATGGTGATGGCCAAGAGACCATCATGGAGCCACGCCCCCAGCCCCTCCCTGGGGGATTCTAGGCAGGGGCTCTACCACTGAGCCACGCCCCCATCCCTCACTGGGGGATTCTAGGCAGGGGCTCTACCACTGAGCCACGCC